ACCTGGGGGTTAAAACCACCCCCCTCTTCTGTTTTTTTTTTTTTTTTTTTTTTATATATACACACAACACACATAAACACATATAAACAACTTCTACTTTTAAACGCTGTTAACGTTTCACTCAGGGACAGTGACACTGTCTAGGGCTTCTTTCAGGTTCGCCGCCATAATGTAGATCTGAAAGCTTACGTGCCGAAGAGAAGCGACAATTACCAGTTATCACAGTTGACTGAGATACAGATTGATCAGAAAAAGAACTGTCAGGCATTGGGAACAGGGACGGGATTCTGTAATATGAAAATCCTGATCTGTGGAGAAGCAGGGAGAAATTAATCCACCAGAAGAGACAGATGAGAAGTGAAATGCGTATGGACGTTTCTGAAGGGGGGGAAGTGACAAACTCCTCGTAAAGCAATATGCAAACTTGGCAGAAAAAAGCAGTAACTTGTACTGCATGGCATAATTCAGCATTGTGAGATCAGTTAAGAGAACAGAAAAGTAAACAACGCTGAGTATGAAAAGTGATCATACCCCAATTTGGGGAGTTTTTATTCAGTTTTTAAATTCATTGTTATTTCAGGAACAATGTGTGTTCACTCGGATGTCAATGAAGTCTGTGTATCACAAAAAGTGCTCCCCTGCACTTGATTTATGAGTGTTCTTCTGTGTAGTAAGAGGAAAGCGGTATCTAGTTACATGCTTAGAAACATTTATGCAGGCCTAGTTTTAAAAGCGGGAGAAAATGCTTTTAAGCTCTGAGTCTTGAATTGTTTTCAGTGTTTGATGTTGAGGCACAGCCCAAGTTCGGTGTGTTTTATGGTGCCTCTTCCAGTCATTGCACGCGTGCGAGCTACAGTTGTGTAGAACAGATGCAACCCTCGCATACTCAGTGAGGCATCAGTGCAGTCACTACCGACATTTGAGTATCTCTGCCATAAAACGTACAAAGGTCATTAAAAAGACTGAGATTTTAGGTCACCTCTTTTCCTTCCTCTTGAGTAGTACTGGAGAGTAACATTAGATCAAATGAAGAAAATGAAAAATACTATTTTTCCAAATCGCTGCAAAATGGAAGAATCCAAAAGCCATCACCTTCTACTGACTTGACCTAGAACATGTTGTTTAAAAATAACCTGTTTAATATGTGTATTAATATACTGTAAAGGACAGTAAAAAAAATACTGCTATAATGGTGTTCTGGACGGGACTTTCAGAAATACCTGATGGAGTTAAGTGCTCATTGACATTTAATGATCCATTCCCTGGGCACTTGCATGAAGTATCTACACCATGTAAAATTGCTTAAGTGCACTTTTTACTTGCTCTCTTTTATTGTAAAAGCGAAACTGTACAAACAGCAAACACCAGGCTTCAGACAGGCACATGGGGATGTTTCACTCCGCTGCTGGGAGAAGAGCCGGGAGAACGGTGGCCAGACCTATTTCCCAGCAGTGCTCAGCAGTGCGTTCTGCTGGCGCGCTGCTGCTCCCAGAGCTCCTCTCCCCGTACAAAATATTTTATCTGGCGTTCATGCAAGCTCGAGGCTGGGCAGCTCCGCGCCGCGCCCTGCCGGGAGCGCGCACTGTGCCTGCGCTGCGGGAGGGGCCCCGAGCA